ATGTTGGAAAAATAATTTTCTATCAATTTTCTAACCGATGGGACCAGATTGACACACCTTGTGTGACACCACCAGATGACACGCACATTTTTAATACTAGGGGAAGATCCTCCAACATGTTCTCTCTGCCGAATCCCTTTATCCTTGAGGCATGTTTTATTAGATTGTGCTGGTTTTAACCCTGTGAGAAAACTTTTTTTTATTCAGTTAACTCTTTTGAAGAGATTTTTAAGAGTTAAGCCAAATACAGTTATGGAGTTTTTAGCAAAAATAAATTCTAAAAACATGATACAATTCAGCCATAATATTTCTCACCATGAAAATAGCCACAGAAGCTGGAATGGAGTTAAACACAAACAAACAAACTCAGTGAGTTTGCTTCTGTTTCTTAATGACAAGCTTAAACTATATCAAGTATTTATGTAACACATCTCATTTGTGTATGAATGGCTGTTAGATTGAATAAAGTTGATTAAAATCAAAGCAAGTTACTGTATGAATACTCTTGATTTCCCTCATATGCAGTGCTGTAATGGCAGCCTTGCATGCAATTCTTGCAGCACCCACAAGATTCCGCCATTTGGTGGATTGCTATTACAAGACTGATGTCCAATTTTAGACAAATGCTTAAATATTTAATGCATAAATTGCAACAGAACATTTACTGTAAATGATTTACAAATGTTTTTGTCTGCCAGTAAGGAAAGGAGCTAACCTAATTAATCAATCAGAGAGATGTGAAGCAAGTCGTTCTGATCCTGGTGATGCAGTGAGATTTGATGAGATGCACAGCAGAAGGTTTAAAGGTGGGTCTTCATGTGCGCTTGCAGAAGCTGCAGGAACAGGACGAGCGTGCAGAGCTGCTGAAGGATCGTCTGCGGTGGGAGCAGAGAGAACTGCGCACACAGCTGGAGAAACTGCAGGGCAGTTCAGAGAGGATGCGTAACGACAGCCTTGGCTCAGCTGTGTCCTCCGAGAGATCCGACTCTGAGAGAGGTGATCATCAGACGGCCGAGATGTTAATATTCCTAAATTAGAGTTTCTGTGAGATTAATATGAGCTTTTAGAGTTCAGATATTTATATTCTATTATTATTCTGATCAGTAACTGGTTTAACTTGGTTAAAACTATTTAATTTAAAAACGCATATATGACCCAGGACCACAAAACCAGTCATAAGGGTCGTTTTTTCGAAATTGAGATTTATACATCATCTGAAAACTGAATAAATAAGCTTTGGAGGATTGTTAGCATAGGACAATATTTGGCCGAGATACAACTATTTGAAAATCTGGAATCTGAGGGTGCAAAAAAATCCAAATATTGAGAAAATCGCCTTTAAAGTTGTCCACATTAAGTTCTTAGCAATGCATATTACTAATCAAAAATTACGTTTTAATATATTTACAGTAGGAAATTTACAAAATATCTTCATAGAATATGATCTTTACTTAATATCCTAATGATTTTTGGCATAAAAGAAAAATCAATAATTTTAACCCATAAAATTTATTTTTGGCTATTGCTACAAATATACCCCAGCGACTTAAAAGACTGCTTTTGTGCTCCAGGGTCACATATGCAAACACTTTTTAAATGAAAGCTTTACTGAAGGTTTAATAAACCGTTTATTTGTTATTTTTTAAGATTATTCTGGCTATTATATATGGGTGGTACAGTAGTCACATGAGGTGTTGATCATATTTGCTTGAAAATTGCAGAGGACGTTGAGATCGATGTGGAGAGCATGGTGTGGACTCTGGAGTCAGATGGTCTGGGCTCATCACATGCTGGGGTGGACCACAGCTACTCTACCTCTGTTCACACCTGGTTATGACCGTCCCAGATCTACAAACATCACAGAACGGTATGAAGTGGATGGGGGACTCCGCAAACGTTTGATGGGCTTTACCATCATCATCATCATCACAGAACAGCCTTATGTTGCTGCCACTCTGAAACCATCAGCCGCAAACAACTAAGCATGACTGGAATTTATTTTGTGTAGTGTATTCTTTACACTAATGGCATTATGGTGCTCTAGTATGCTATAGACCAATTCAGAGTAGAAGTCGCAGTTACTCACTTGCAGCTGCGCACGCATAGTGGTTGCAGAAAAACACTGGGAACAAGTGGAGATAAATGGGTAAAATCCATGGAATAAAAGAAAAAAATATTTTTGTGCCTTTTGATATTATTAACATTTTTACATAACATTTATTTACTTTATCTCACAATTCTGACTTTTTTTTTCTCGCAAATGCAAGTTTATATCTCCTAATTCAAATTTTATAACTCGACTTAACTCAAAAATAGTGAGTTTGTCAAATCTGAGGGAAAAAAGCCAGAAGAGCCGAGGGGAAAAGAGAGAATGACGAGTTGTTTTTCCTTATTAGAATTGTGAGATATAATCTCGGAATTGCGAGAATAAAGTCAGAATTTTGAAATATAAAATCAAATTGACCTATTCTTTTATTCCATGACTCCATAGACTGCCGCTTGAAAACCGTCATTTTCTGCCTCCAGACAAACAAAAAACGTCACCCCTGTTTCGGATCTGTAAGACTATCCCACTCTCTAACGTCAATTTCGTTGAATAAAAGTGCTTATCGCTGGGTGACAAGCTCTTGTAATATGCGGAGAACATTTTGAAAATGACATCTAATCAATATAATGTATAATCTTTTTAAACCTAACTATTTTGTACCCTATCCGTGAAATTCTCTAGCCGTAAAGGCTATCTCTCCCGGGTTTTCTGCAACCATGATGCGCGCGCATCCTGAATGTTTACAAACCTATAATTGGTCTATACACTCGTGAGATTCAAGTGTAACAATTTTGGTGATGCTTTATTTCCACAGAATGATTGTTTTTTTCTGGATTAGTTATGGTCACATTGCACCCGTTAGTTGTCTTCTATCCGGCTAATGAGCTTAAAGGGATAGTTCACCCAAAAATTAAAATTCTGTCATCTACTCACCCTCATGTCGTTGCAAACCTGTATGAGTTGCTTTCTTATGTTGAACACAAAATAAAATATTTTGAAGATTGCTGGTAATCAAACAGTTGGTGGTTGCATTGACTTCCATAGTAGGAAAAAAAACACCAGCTGTTTGATTACCAGCAATCTTCAAAATATCTTCTTTTGTGTTCAACATAAGAAAGCAACTCATACAGGTTTGGAACGACATGAGGGTGAGTAAATGATGACAGAATTTTCATTTTTGGGTGAACTATCCCTTTAACTTTAGGGTCAGCCTGCAGTACACATGGCTTGCACTTAAATGTTTAATATCCAGCTTATTTAATTCTGTTTTAAAAGCTGAGTTTTGATACATTGCACAAAGCATACGCATGAGCACTTGTGATGTCTCTTTAGGTGTGTTATTTCTTTCAAGTTTGCAAATGTGTGAAATTGCAGATTGTCAATGCTTTTTTTTTTTTTTCCCCTTTTAATATTGCAATTTTTTTTCTAATTGAAAAACTGGGGAAGCTAATTCAAAGGTTGTGGTGCTGCAATTCATAGGAAAAGAATGCTTTCCTTTACAGCCATGCACTTGTTATTTGCTATTGGGTAAAGGTACAGTTGGGTTTGAAATGATTATTGAACTACTATCAGCATCATCGTGACGTTTCATTTTTATGTACTTTTTACTGTGCTTTGGTTCACTTCAGAGAATCAAAGTTGGTGCTATTAAAACACCCAACAACAAGCTCTTATGTTGAGCCCTAAGCAAGAAGCCTGAAAAACAGAACATAGTACATTTATATTTGTACAGTGGATTTTCAGCAGTTTAATCCTTTTTCCCCTAAGATGTGTTAGTCTGCTCATGTGAAAATGTTTTACTTTTCTTTTCTTGTTTTTTAAACTGCAATTCAGTATGTTGGTAGTATTGACAAAATACATAGGCTGTATTTGCAAACTGTTCAGTATCTGCTCATATCAGTCATTTATGCAAACTATTATGAACATGCCTTTGTTTTTAGATGTTTGTACAGTAACTGTGTTAATGTACACAGCAAAATGTACATTGTATATACAGTTCTGAACACCAAATGCCTTAAGAACTATTCGTATGTCATTGGACCAGGAGCACCTTTGTATTTATGTCTCTCCTTGTATTCATATGTAGCATTTTTATTCTTTTACCAACATAAGCCTTTTGTACAAATAAATATTTTACGTATTTAATCTGACTTGTCACTATGATTTTGCATACGTTATTTATTTGCAACTAGGGAGCTTGATTGTAATATATTAGTCTAGACATCTTGACATAACAGCCTAGTATTCAGTCATATCAGACCTAGTGAGAACATATTGGCCTATTTAAATGCCACGCTTGGTTTCATTTCTCTAGAAAATATAAGTGGTATGAGATTTACTTGATCTGCTTAAAATGGTGTTATCTCTCCTATTCAACAGTGATCACAATGCAAATGAAATGAGAAAAAAAAAAAGCAAAAACGAGAATGTCAGATAGAAAATATTTATTGGTAATACCTGCTGGTCACGAACAATTAACAGCTATAAATCATTACATAAGCAATACCCTTTCATTAAACGAATGCATTTCTTCTTTCAGACACTCAACATTGGACATTTTTGGACAACTTTCACACTTGTAATCAGACATTGCCATCCATCCGGTGCAATACTTTCTGGCATACAGGTGCATCTCAATAAATTAGAATGTCGTGGAAAAATTCATGAGTACATGTACAGTAAATGAACATACTTTCCAGAAGGCCAACAATTCACTAAAAATGTTTTTCTTATTGGTTTTATGAAGTATTCTAATTTGTTGAGATAGTGAATTGGTGGGTTTTTGTTAAATGTGAGCCAAAATCATCACAATTAAAAGAACCAAAGACTTAAACTACTTCAGTCTGTGTGCATTGAATTTATTTAATACACGAGTTTCACAATTTGAGTTGAATTACTGAAATAAATTAACTTTTCCACGACATTCTAATTTATTGAGATGCACCTGTATGCTCTCATGTGCCAAAGATCAGACTCCTCTGCAGAACTCTAGATATCACGCCGGCAGTGACTGCTGGAACCGTGGACCAATCAATGCAGATAGAACTTCAATTTGAAGCGACGAATCACATTGCTAAACAAGGCAGATTACAGACCTCACTTAGTAAGTCTGAATATGAAGATTCAGAGAGGCCATGTTTGAAATACAACAACAAAATCAGAGAAATGAATTTAGCAATCGAAAAAATTGCAAACACATGTAAAATCAGGAGCAGGTGGAGGATTCTGCTGCATCAAATCAAGTTTACTAGAGAATTTCAGTCGAAGAGCACATGGGCTTCACTAAATGCATTCTGAGAATCCAGACAGGCACGATTTGATCATCTCAGCTCCTGGCTAAATGCATCTCACATCCACGTCTGTGTCCTGTGATGGCATGACACGGCCCTTTTCAGAAGTGCTGGGAGAGTCCGGACACTGGACTCATCATACATACTGCTTCTTCTGAGCCTGAGAGGCTAAATCTTTCGCCTTCTCCTTGGCGGCGAGTGCGGTCTCGCGTGCCTTCACAGTTGCGGTTTCTGCCAGAGTACGTGTGGGCATTTCACCTGTGCAGTAATGAGATCCAGCTTAGCCGACCATGTTTACAACTAAATGAATTAAACCATTAAGCTGCTACTGCATACTTGAACTCTAGCTGGCATCTTACCTTGCATCTTGGCCAGGACATACTCAAAGCCTTTCATGGTCTTTGTAACGCTGCTCTTAAACCGGGCAAGACCAAATTCCTGAAAATGGGATAGAAAGATGTAAAGCGCTTTGAGAAAAACACTCCTTGCTGCCAAGTGTTGTGGAAGTTCCAGTGAGGTAATTTAACTGCAGACTAAACAGCTGTTAGCTATAAACACCCCGCATGATCTTCAGCATCAACGCAACGATCCAGGCTGCAGAATGTTATTCAAATGTATTTAAACATATCACACACACTACTGTAATAAAACTTTCTTTGAGATCAACATAACCAAGTGTTGTTTAGACGTCCTGTCACCCACTGACCTGAATCGCTCTAGAGAGGCCGTACAGTTTGGAGGAAATCCAGGCCTCTCTCTTGATCTCGGTCCAGCTGTTGTTGTCAGGGTTCACTCTGTACACACAACGCTCTTCAATACTCTACACACAGAAAACACATAGTTAACCTCTCATAGTTCACGTCTAGTCAGGCCAGTTGATAATTAATCATAGCCAGTCCAGGAAATCATACAAAATAACTATATTATAGAAGTAACTGTATTTGAAACAAAAAAGCATGTTGAATTGCACTAAAAATGCAATGCATTAAAATGCAAGCACTGTTAATGCAATGCATTATTTATTTTTTAATTAGTGCAATTCAACATCATGCTATTTTGCTTCAAATACATGTGTCATTATTTTGCTCCCATGCCATATTCACATATTCAAGTGCCAGCAGGTGAAATATTATTCATCTATCGTCTGCAATTTTCCGCATGCTGTGCTTTAGTTAAGAAAAAGAGAAGTGTCTTTAAATTAATCCCATTTAAAGCCCCACTTTGGCCACTTTGTCACTTTTTTTGATGCTGATTTTGAGCACGTCACCAAATACCCCCCCAAAAAACTGTAATTTTATGAATTATTTTTTACTATCCATTACATGTTTTAATCCACTACGTTTGGAAGACAAAGTGCTTACTGTCATAAAAATACTGTCAGAATACACAACACATTAATGGTCCTAAAAATAGGTTTCATTTGTTTTTGTGACAAATATAAATCCTTATTCTCTATAGATTTGGGGTGCAACATCACTCGGACATGTTCTTGTCAGCTCTGCGAGACAGGAGGAGGGATGGCGGCCCACCATCACACGAGTGTGGCTGATATTCCAGGTGAGAGTGGTCATGGTCCTGCCTCGAGGATCCACTACAGAGTCCTCAATGATGTAAGCCTTCTGTGCCATGTGAGCAGGCAGAAACTTCTCCGCCCAGCGAGGAGCTCTGCTTGTTTTGGTCAGGAGACGTCTGGAGATCAGACAGTTGTCCGGAGTGACTTCCCGAAATATGATGTCTTCAGTTAAAACATGATTACTGAGGAATACAAATAAAGAAATGATATAAAATCAAATAGACAGTGGTTATAAGTGGTATAAGAATATAATACATAGGAAATCTTGTAAAAAAAACAAAAAAAGATATACATGTACTGCAGGAGCTGTAGGAGGGTCTCTCAAAAAAAAGACAAATATACATATTTGTAGTACCTGTAGGGGTTGGGGTATCTCTGCCAGAATGCCAAAAACACTTGGTCCCATGAGCTCTTCAGAAAGCCTGCACAGCTGAAATACTTCACCATTGTTCCCTCTCAACCTGCCTGTGCTAAAAACTAACAAAGCACAAAAACAGCAACTAGTTGATAACTAAAGAATATAAGTCAAACTAAATAATATCTTGAAGACAGGCATGAGGAAAGCCTTAATTAAGGAATAAGACTTGAATTAAATGAGTACGTGCAACTTTAGCAATGGACTGACAGATAAGAAGCATGAGCTGCATACCTACACGTCAGCTGACCTGGAATATACTAGTCGTGCCCAAACATTTTTTTGCAGGTTTTTATACTATGAGAGCCAAAAAAATGCTGTCTATGCAGGCAGCCCATTTGGTTTTCAGATTACAATGTTAACAAAAGCTGTTCAGAAACCAGATCCAGATAAGAATTTCACTTTATTGAGACCATAACGTTCAAATCAGCCATCAAGACAACAAGCTTACTGCGTTGAGACTGTGATGTCCGAAATGTTCGACAACTGACTGGATTTTGACGCTATGATGCCCAAAAACGCTGTTTAGGTAACGTTACACAAACCACTAGGTTTTGACAAGATGGTGCCTAAAAATCAGCCATAGAATTACACGTTGTATGGCTATATAAAAGACGATTAGATAATTTTATTATTAATATTTTAGAAGCAGTAGTGGTCACAAGTATTAAAACTGTAACACTGCATTATAAGCTATGCCTTTCACCTTTAACGTTACTTCAGCTAACTTAAACCTGGACCGTTGGATGAATGTCATGCACATCTGCTGCTCGTGTTGCTAACGTTAGCTCGCGGCTAACGCATGTTTACTCTCTTTCTGAATGAATGAACGAAAACAATTATTAACATGAATGAGGACTTACCAGCGTAAACAGACTATGGGGCGCTTTGCGAAGTGATTTTTCTCTACTCCTACATTTCGCGACCATCCGTGTGTCTCGTCTACTCTACATGACTCACTGTACGTGACTAAAGAGAAGAAGGTCATGGTCACTTACGCCACTTCCGGAAGACCATGCACGTTACTGCACTGTACAGCTGGTTTACATGTAGCTTACCCTAACCATAATATTACTACATAAATTTAACGTGAATTCTAATCTAAGTACATACGTTTTGAAGAGTATGCATATATAAAAAAACACTTTACACTTTAACAAGGTCTGGATAAGGGGGTGATCAGACATCTCCGTTTTCCGGGGCTATTTCCCGTTTTTGGTGTCCTGCCCGCGATCTGTCCATGAAAATGTCCCGTTTTTTTTCAGTTCAAAACAGTCCGCCAATGCACTGCAAAAACGACCATAGAAGCCTGCTGTTGCATGCTCACCAGAGCACTCGTGTAGTAATATTTTTTACCGACAGAGGGAGCTGCGCCGCTAAGTTAAAGGGTTAGTTCACCCAAAAATGAAAATTAGCCCACAAAAAGTAGCAGAACGTACAACTGAACACAGATCGCAGTTTATTTGTTTTAATCTGCCTCGATGTGTTGCAACCAAGTGTGCCGCACGAGTCTTAAAAAGTGAAGCCATTGCGTTTCGATCGCCCCCAGGTGGCTGGTCCCAGTATAGGTCATAAACCCCGCCCTCTCCGTGCAATCTAATGGGACATGGGACAAACTAAATAATTAAAGGGGTCATATGATGCTTTTTTAAAGATCATTGTTTTGTGTATTTGGTGTAACAGAATATGTTGACATGTTCCAAAGAGAAAGGAGAACTTGAAATCGCATCATATGACCCCTTTAAATCTCACTTCAAATAATTTTTTTCCAAAGATGGCTTTTGTCATTTGATATAGATTTTATCACGCTGATGTAAGTTCAAGTGTTCGTTTTTTAAAATAATTTTGGTTTTAGTTAGTTAAGTGATGTTATAAAAACGGGAGTGTGACGTCATGATTGACAGCTGAGTCTTCTCTGAGTGAATTGAGGCGCCAGCCGCCAACGGACTTTTTCGGGATCTTTAGGAGGATATTGGAGTTGAGGCGTCTAGGTATTTATATGTCTATGGAGTCCACCCTCGAAATCGGGTCCACTTAGGACCAAGGCGGTAGCTGTTTTAAATGCCTGATCAAAAGTCAACACTTTTCTTACTATTTCGTTGTGAATATATGTATGGTAAGTGCAAATGCATGGTGTATAATCTAACCTAGCAGGCTAATCGGGTAGCTGTATGCTATGCTAGTACGTGAGCTAACCAAAAAAAAACAAAAAAAAAACAAGTAATGTTTGATTTCACAACCTATAGCTTCGGATACTAGCATATGAAACATGTAATTTAAAAGAAATGAATGGTCATTATAATGAAGTTCAAACGACATAAATCAAAGCGCGATTTTGCAGGAATTGTAATTAGGTGCTAAAAATAATACCCATTAAAAGTTCGTTGAGTCAATGGGATCACTCGGGGTCCTAAGCTGACCCGATTTCGAGGGGGGACTCGATTTCTCATGACACTGGTTCCAAATCAGCGCAATATGGCCGCCCCCTGTTGGGACAATGGCGGCTTCACTTTTCTTCAATGGAAGAGATTGAAGGTGCGTTGTCCATCTTTTTTTACAGTCTATGGTTTAATGCCACTCAGCGGGTGTTGCATGCATCAGTCCAAAAGAAGTTAAATAAAAAGCGCACATCCATTAAAAAAAAAAGTGTCTCACACGGCTCCGGGGGGTGAACAAAGGCCTCCTGTAGCGAATCGATGCATTTTTGTAAGAAAAATATCCATATTCAAAACATAATAATCACTTTAATGTAGCTTGCGCCAACAGTCCTACACGGAAGCAGCTCCGGGCTGATGACGTATGAGGTCAGCGCTGCGCAGAAACGTTCTTGAAAGTTCCGCTGTCACAATTAAATAATTTCTACACCCGAGATTGTCTTACTATTGGGAGATGAGAGGGTCTGTATTCTTTTAATTAATAATTAAAAACCAATCACATAAAAGCTTTGCCGTCATTGAATTTCACAATTCAATGTTGTGCGACACTCAATCGCCGTTTACGGATCCCATGAGAATGAATGAGAAGTGCCATAAGCTGAATCCCACCTGTCGCAAAAAATCAGTGACTTTTCTTATAAAACAGCATTTTTTTCATGGTAAACTCTAAAAATAGTTCAATCCAAAAGTATTGTTTAGTGTAAAACATGTTGAAGATTAGCCGATAGGCTGTCGATTTATTAAATGATGAGCTGTTTCCTCTAAAAAGCTGTTTATTCAGCATAGTGAAGCCTCTCCTCCATTGACATCCATTCAAAAACAACGGCCTCTGGTCTCCTTTCCCACGTACTGCCAGACCGGAAGCGTTAGCATTAGCCGTTACGCTTTTTCAGCTAATGGTTGCCAGCTTGCCTTCTAGTGGCTTTGTTCTGCACACACATCACTATGTCTATACCAGGTGAGTGAAAGTACAATAACAATCAAATAAACAATCATACTTATATGTTTGCTATTAACAATGCTTACAATGAACTATTTTTCACAGAGTGATTTTAGGTAGGCCTAAACCTAGTTAGGGTCAGTTTGATTGTATTAGGTTTAAATACAATTTAACAAAAATCACTCTATAATTATCAATAACAAAACAAGGAACCCACAACAATTAAACAACAAAAACGTTCTAAAATGTATTCTCCCTTTTTTAATTAATAGAAAATAACAAGTGAGATTTCAATTATGTTTTGACATTTAAATGCCCCCATTTCCATTTCATAAATCTGATCACCTTAAATAGGCCTATAACCCTTTTGGAGGTCATCAACCATTTTAGGCCGAAAAGTTTGAATTTGTTAAAGGGTTAGTTCACCCCAAAATGAAAATTCTGTCATTAATTACTCACCCTCGTGTCGTTCCAAACCCGTAAGACCTTCGTTCATCTTCGGAACACAAATTAAGATATATATATTTTTTTTAATATAAGATATTTTTGATGAAATGTGAGCGCTCTCTGACCCTGCATAGACAGCAACACAACTGAAATGTTCCCAAGTCCAGAAACGTAGTAAGGATATCGATAAAACAGTCCATGTGACATCAGTGGCTCAACTTCAGTTTTGCGAACGAGAATACTTTTTGAGCGCAAAGAAAACAAAAATAACTAACTAAATAATAATTTTTTCAACAATTCTTACGTATTAGTTACGTTTTCTGCCATTTTGGAGAGTACCCAAGAGCGTAATCAGCGTTGTTTACACTTAGGGGAAAGCATACATATGTGTTGTGATACTCTAAAATGGCGGAAGACGTAACTCGGGGGAGAAGAATTGTTGAATAAATTGTTATTTTTGTTTTCTTTGCGCTCAAAAAGTATTCTCGTAGCTTCGCAAAACTGAAGTTGAGCCACTGATGTCACATGGACTGTTTTACCGATGTCCATACTACGTTTCTGGACCTGGGAATATTTCAGTTGTGTTGCTGTTGAGTAATTAATGACAGAATTTTCATTTTGGGGTGAACTATCCCTTTAAGTGTTTATTTTATCGGAATGGTGCAAAACTTGTTGACTTTTGTGGCAGCAACTACACACACACACACACACACAGGCTATAGTTGGGGTTTATGAGGACTTTCTATCCTCATGGGGGGCGGGGGGTTTACTATCCTTGTAGGGACATTTGGTCCCCACAATGCAGGGAATTTCACACACAGTTAAAAATATTGGGCATGATTAGGCAAAATGGTCTTTAAAGAAAAATAGTCACACTTACCATCTTCATGGTCAATGACTGCCATAGGAAATGAACAGGCAATTTGAAAATAAAGAGCACATTTTTGGGGGTACAATCTACAAAGTAGTTTCTGATAATGTCTAAATATATAAAATTGCAAAACCTAAAAGTAAGAAGTTTTGCCTGTAAATACTCATATAATCAACTAGAGAAAACACAGCCCTAGACCATGGTATTATTTAAATATGATTATCTTTATTTCTCCCACCAGATGGAACCACTCTGCTTTCCATACATTGATTGTTTTTAAACACCTTTTCTCTATTTTTACGGAAACAAACTTTCATTTCATTAAAAGATGTCTCTTCGGTCTGTTTTGAGCTCTCTAACTGAGAAATGCCAAAGGTTTAATATCAAAACGACAGCATTTCCTTCTGAAAACGTCACTGCAATATGGCACCACAGTCCTTGCAGGAGTGTAAAAACCATAAAACACAATAAATGTATATAAAACCATAAAACACAATAAACGTTACAGTAAAATGATAGTATATGGAATAGATCTGTCAATAGCTTATGTTTCTTTGCAATAGAAGATTTTTTATGTATGCAGACCTGTATATGAACATGTATAATTTTCTCTGTTTAACCATTTGTTTGTTCCATCTTCTGTCAGGGTGATTCAAAAGAACTGGTGTTTTTTTTTACTATTTATCTTGTTCAGTTAGCTGTTTATTCTCATGTTTAGCCTAAAGGTGTAATGTCTTTACTTTTCCTAAAAGGATGTCATTCATTATTTAATTTTTGTATAGATCATGCTGTTAGACAAGAAATATTTTCTGCATAAAAGGATAAATCCTAAATTCCTAAATTAGACATTTTGCTTTGAAATGTACATTTTTAAATAATACATAAAAGAGAGAAAAACTTGTTTGTTTGGTTTGTAAAATTATTTTGCAATTTGACCTATGTTTCAGTTTCTTTAGATGATTTCTTCATCTTCATTCTGGAAAAATACCTTCTGTCCAATAGAGGGCAGAAACTGATTAGATTTATTCCAAGCCTATGACAAATAACAGCCTTAGTTCTTATCAAATAAGTCGTTCAGCTGCACAATATATGTGCTTTGTTTTGGTGAAAACACACACACTCTCACACACACACACACACACACACACACACACACACACACACACACACACACACACACATTATAGAGATTACAATTAGTTGCTAGTACACACTACATTTGCACACATTTGTTAATTGCTGGTTTTAGAACAAACTTGGTCATTTAGTTTCCAATTTGCTCTCCTGGAGAAATAGCTTTTTTTAAATAGCCATATTTCCAAAAAACACCCCATCATGTTAAAAATAAATACATAAAATAAAGTCCAGATAAGACAAATGAATCTTACAAACACACTAATAACCGTTGTCTGCATCTGTTTTATTCATCTGTGTGCAGATCTTCATCTTATAGCTTATTGAATGTAGAACAAGAGGTTTGTGCCACGATTTATTATATTCTCTGAGGTTTCTCCTCCCTTATGCTCCTTGTGCAACACACAGAATAAAACAGAGATTACTGCATGAAAAACACTTGAGTTGTGTAGCGGAGATGAATAATGCAGCAGCTGCAATGTGGATATATTGTTTTGTTTTCATAATCACTTCAGCCAAATGTTGGTGTGAGGCAGATAATTTCAAATCTTTTTTGTTATATGTTGTGTTGCCATGGTTTTGTCTTTCTCTATAGGTTTTTAGATTTGATAAGGCACTGAACTGAAAAAAAAGTGCAGATATAGTTTTATTTTCCTTTCACTCCCTCCCTCCACTGCATTTTAGTGTTCTCACACATCCTATCTGGAAAATAATTTCAAAGACGATTTTTTATTTCATCTCACTGCCACCACAGCATAGATATTAAATATGCCAATAAAGTATACAGGAACATGATTCCATAGATTACATTAATTCTTTGCATACAAAGTACATTATAACCTTCACATCATACAGTATAAATACAATCAGTAGCATAAAGCAATTTATTTACTTGATATATCGGCTCTATGCAAATATACATAAAACCACACGTGCAAGACATTTTCATCTTTGACAAATCACAAAATCGAAGTCATCCAAGTCATACAATTTACTTGAATATTTAAACTCACAACCAAACTGTTAATATAAGTGAATAACAAAGACATTCATTAGTTAAATGTTGAGATGGACAATTCATTGATTGCATATCAATGCTTGGAGTGTTTTACAAAAACAGTAGGTTATGTTCGAAATCCTGTTATGCTAGTGTTGCCATTTATGTAGTGTATAGTATTGGTGCGTCTCAATCAGCTCCCTATAGTTCAATAGTCAGAGTCCTTCCAGTGCACATAAACACAGTTTACTAGACATGTAGTGAACATATAGTTAACATTTATAATTTATATTCAGCTGAAATGTTGTAAGGACATATATATAAAATATAAAAAAATAATATCAAAATGATATGGGTCCTGCCAGTTGTTCATTAATACCAGCGGTGACGATCTAGGCCAATGTATGGTGACGTACATAGTCATGTTGCTGGAAATTGTGTATCACTGTCCCACTGAGCCAGGGTCCTTACCAGTGCCCAGATTCGAGTGCACGATATACTGATTTATGAGCTCGGGAGCTATAGAGCAGATTGAGACGCACCCTATGTATATGCAGATTATGCAAATTTCCTGTATGCTTGTACATTAACACCCAGAACTACATCTGCCAAAATGTGCAAAATACAACAGATGTGGATATTGTATCCCACAATGCAATATATGAACATATTTTTAACCATGATCAAGGTTGGGCCTTTTAGCTTTGGCACCAGATTTCTACAAAGCAATGGCAATTTCATATTTGCTGTGTACTCTGACAACATAAAAAACCAACATATTTCACCAGTGCAAGATTCTGTTTTGAAGGGCTCTTAAAGCATGAAATGGACTTTATGTAACAGCTCAAAATAGGCACTAGTGAAGGGTATGCAATTGTGTGCGCACTTGTGGCGCTATCCGCCAATCAGAGTTGTCATGAGACCATTTCATATGGCCCCTGAGGGATCTGAACTGAACTGAGCTGGACGATGACATCACTGAATGAAAGATGAGCTGACTTTAACTGGAAAATTGACTGTTTACTATTGACTTCTTGCATTATCGGCACACTGTTTTCCTGTTATGATACTGTAAAGCTGCTTTGACACAATCTGTATCGTCTAATGCACTATATAAATAAAGGTGACTTGACTTGAGTCACATGATATTTATGACTCAGGTAATTGACTCAAAAAGTTCTGTGGCCCCATGAGCAACGATGGCAGATTTGAAATCATGTCCTTCCAGTAGGTCTTGCAGTAGCCATGCAAATGCCATAAAGATATATGGGAAAGCTAATGAATAGCTTTCTCCAAATCCTAAGAGTGATCAGTCACATGCCGTTTACAGATTAGGTGATTGGCTCTAAAATGTTTCCAGAGCTGAAAGCCTATCAGCAGCATCCAGGCTGTCTCCTGACATGATCAATAAGAGTTTTGCACAAGGCTGATGATAAATGGACACCACCTGGTCCACAGGGCTAAGGGCACACCATAAGGAAAATCTGCTTTTCGCTACTCCCATAATGTACGATTGCAGAAAAAAAATCAGTTTTTATTGATTATTTATGGAGCAACACATTTTGTGAGAAAATAAATAATGAAAGAGGTTTGTTTTGTTTAAAAATCATACAAATGCAAGAGTTTTTTTTCTCCACACTTGGCATAAAAGGCTCACCAGCATGGGGCAAAAGCAACCAGCAATGCTACAAATACTTTAGCTGAAGTAATATATTTTGCATTTCACATGTTAATACTTGTTTAAAACGATCACTTTAACTAAGCTTGTACTATTTTCTGTTTGTTTTGATAAATAAATGTTATTTTTGTTCAGTAAATATAATGCTAGTTTATTATGTTCAGTTTAAAAAAAAAATTAAAATGGGAAAGATTCTTGAAGGAGATCCTCATAATAATTTAATATGGTTTTCAGCAGTAACAATAAATATTATATTATAAAACGGATAGTTCCGGTCCTTGATTCTGATTGGCTGAGCCACGTTCGAAGCTGTTGTAAATTACACTACAAACATACACCTTTGTTTACGTTTGCGTGTTGCTTGGAAACCACTTTGTTGCAACCACAACTGTTTCTGAGGAACTACATTGTTTGGTGGAAGAATACTGTTTTTATTAATATCGTTACACTTTATTTGCTCTGTTTTATTCTGTGAAACCTTACTACGTATATGGAATAACCGTTTTATAAAAGCAATAACCCCATGAAGCCGTGGTTTACAATGAATTTATAACAGCTTCGCGTCTTGCCTAACAACGCCCCTTAGCTGTTATAAATTCACTGTAAACCACGGCTTCTTGGGGCTTATTGCTTTATTTTATTATGTCATGGTTTCATTATAAATATGGTGATTACCCAACCACGTCATGTCATCAAAGGGAAAAGTCAGTCATCTAGTTATTATCTTACCCCAATTATTATCTTATTATTTTACCACGATGCGCCTTTAGCTCCATTGTACCCTACTGTATATACTGTGCATTAAGCAGGCTCCTCCAGACAGAGGAAGACTCCATCTTCATGATTAGACAGCAGTTGCGGGATGACCATCATTGTAGCCGTTCACAATCATCCCCCTCAAAGATCGAGTCCTGAAGGACCCATCAGGGTAGATGGTGTCTGGCTTGTGTTCACAGCGGAAGAACATGAGAAAGCCATTCCTGTAATTTTGGTTCATCCAGCCGTAGAGCAATGGGTTGACAAAAGTCGAGCACATCGCCACGATGTGAAACAAGGTGTAAATGAGTTTGTATTCTTTGAACTTGAGAATCAAGTCGAGATCGCTAGCCAGCTGAAACACGTGGAAGGGAAGCCAGCAAACAGCGAAGACCACGACCACCAGCGCCAGCATCTTCGTGGTCTTCTTCCGGCGGCCGATGCCATCGCTGCGGTTGGAAGGGCTGACGTGGTTCTTCAGTTTGATCCAGATGCACACGTAAGTGTAGCTGATGATCGCCAGAGGGACCACATACTGCAGGAGAAGCATTGATAAACTGTAGATGACGGCGTCCCGATTGGTGCCGTTGGGCCATTTCTCGGAGCAAACCGAGATCCGCAAGTCAATGTATGGGATTTCCTCATGGCGATACTCTCGGAAAATAGCCAGCGGGCCAGCCAGTATGGCGGCGAGCGCCCAGGTCAGGCCGATGATGATGAAGCTGGTGCACCTATTGAGGCGCTGGCCAAGGTGGAAGACGATGCACCTGTAGCGCTCTAGAGCAATGACCGTTAGGGTGAGAATGGACACGTGGACGCTGAGAGCTTGGCCGTAAGGCACCATATGACACATCACTTCTCCAAATTTCCATTCGTCCAACAACGTGTAAACCAGCGTGAAAGGCAAACACACCGTGTCCACCATCAGGTCAGCCAAGGCCAGGTTCGCAATGAAGTAGTTGGTGACCGTGCGCATGTTTCTGTACAGAATGATCATGTAAATCACCAGGGTGTTACCCACAAGTCCTAGCAGGATTATGAGTGAATATGCAAAGATGAGAGATATTTGGACACTCGGGTGCTTGGTGATGTCATCCACAAACGCTGGTTTGTAAGTGTTCATGCTGTCGTTTCCCAGGCTGGTCTCTTGACTTCCATCATAGACCGTGTCCTCCGTTCCATTGGCTAGATCTGACTGGCCCATTTTAACCAAGGACATACAACATCAACCTGTCAAACAGACAAGAACATTTTTGTTTCTTACAGTACAAACAGTTGCCACCGACATGGCAATTTTAATTTATTCAAAAATATTCAAAAATGCATCCGATCATTTGAATGTACCTCTTCTATGAAGAATTAGTTTTTGATTTCTGAATTTAAATTGTAATAAAATCACAATACCACAAGAAAATGCATAAAATTTGGCTGAGGCCATGTGAAAATAGCAGTAATATCCATGCTCTAAGTGGAAATAGTGCTAGAAGCTATTTGAACTTATACTGCTAATAGTGGAAGATAACAACATATTATTTAGTATATACTTAACAACACATCCAATGCTAATGCCTATTAAGGCATGGTAGGCATAATTCTAATATTTTCTATATATGATAGAAAAAGAGAGAAGAATGGGATTGGAATTTTTAACTCTGATGTGTCAAAAAGCCAAATCAAGTATCCACAGCACTGTTTCTGTTGCCATATTGTAATTTTGTCTAGGTCAACCAGACAATGGTGAGCGATGGAGTTAGTCTTAATAGCCTTTTCCTTATACCCATTTTAAGCAACCTGTGTGAAGGTGATGTTTAGTCAGTATATGAATAGTATGTGTTTTGTACCATTATATTTTATGTCATTATATATTGGTACATATATGCCAGCTGTTATTCATTTCAGTGGTTCACATTTCATTGCATATGTTCAATTATAAATGTACGCCAGAGATCTCATTCTCAGCATGGAAGCTGAATGATGTCTTCTTTTCTTTTTGCATGCTCAGTTGGAGTAGAAGTGAATGATGCATGCTCTGAATGAGACATGCACACCTGATGAAATATGTAGCATCCGCATCTACTGAAGAAGGTAAATCATAATATATCATTACAGCACTGCAAGGCATATACAGTGGGTACGGAAAGTATTCAGACCCCCTTAAATTTTTCACTCTTTGTTATATTGCAGCCATTTGCTAAAATCATTTAAGTTAATTTTTTTTCCTCATTAATGTACACACAGCACCCCATATTGACAGAAAAACACAGAATCGTTGACATTTTTGCAGATTTATTAAAAAAGAAAAACTGAAATATCACATGGTCCTAAGTATTCAGACCCTTTGCTCAGTATTTAGTAGAAGCACCCTTTTGATCTAATATAGCCATGAGTCTTTTTGGGAAAGATGCAACAAGTTTTTCAAATCAAATGAGATATGATTGTGATGTGTGTGTCATGATGATATATGCATTAAGACCTGTGGTACATTGTTTGACAGTTGAATTGGGATGACATGCATAGCTCTATTTCAGTAATGAATGTCACCCAAAGAGCTTCTAATTATAACATCCCCCTGGCATTTTCAGGGGGAAAAAGTGTTATATCATTCTGACTCGTGAATAACTGAAACTGTCAAACTGGCAGCATACATTGCAGTAAGTGATGGCTGTGGTTTCTAGAGTTTGGAGTATCACGAAAGCATACAGTCTTTGTTTCTGAGGGGGAAATCGTGTGTAAATGCACTGTTTCATTTATTGGCCTTAGTTTTGTCAAGTCAAGTCAAGTCACCTTTATTTATATAGTGCTTTTAACAATACAGATTGTGTCAAAGCAACTGAACAGCATTAATTAGGAAAATAGTGTGTCAATAATGCAAAATGATGATAGTAAACACTCATAGTTTCCGACAAAACCAGCAGTTCAATTTCAGGCTGCAGCAAAGTCACATTGTGCAGAGGACTCATCTGGTTCCTGTGGTCTTGTCCCGGTGGTCGTCTGAGACAAGGTCTTTACAGGGGATCTGTATTTTTTGTGGGTGGGTGAGTCAGGTGCTTGCTTCTGCAGGGGTTCTGACCTGCGTATGGAGATCTCAGTCACACCTGAGATACTTCTAAAAAAAAAAAAAAAAAAATGCACCCAGTTGTGTTACAGC